GAGAGAAAAGTTTCCGATACTGGCCACGACTTGGTTCAAGGCACAACACGGTGACCTATGGGAGATTCAAGATCACCACTCGCTTCCGGACAGATTCTGGTTGCTATGCCACCACAGGTTTGAAGATCAAACACCTCCTCACAGGACAAGAAAGAACAGTTTGGCATCTTCAGTATACTGACTGGCCAGAGCATGGTTGTCCAGAAGACACAAAAGGGTTTCTATGTATGTGCTTGTCTTCTTCTTCTTTTTTAAACTTACTGTTCATTTTCTATTATTTCTTCTATTATATGAAACCTGCTGAAGCAAAATAGGTCTGGGGCTGATAATCGCCTGCATGGAAATCGATATAATCTGTTGGTTACCATCAACTTACATTTTTAAAAGGCCTGTCTGTAAATGCTGGGGATATGGGGGATATCTAAATAAAGCCTTGAATAGCTAAGTTTTGTCTTACAGCTATGGCTTCCCAGGCCATGTATGAAGTCTAAATGCACACCTTCCACTATGTGCATGGTGATCTAAATCCTATTGTGTGCAATTGTAAGGTTAGCTTATTTTTTTTTTAAAAAGAGGCCAAATCAGTCCTGAAATACATTGTAAAAATACTGAAATCTTGTAAGCTTTAATGTCCTCACAAGATTTCAGCTTCTTTGTGTGTATGTTCGTGTATTTTTTTTTGTGTGTGTGTTTGTTTGTGTGTGTGTGTGTGTGTGTGTGTGTGTGTGTGTGTGTGTGAGAGAGAGAGAGAGAGAGAGAGAGAGAGAGAGAGAGAGAGAGATAATATGCAATTTATAAGATATGTGGACAACATCAATAGTTGTTTAGGTTCTGTGCTAAAACAGTTTATTGCAATATGAAAGAATCATTATGCATTTTGTATGTTAACCTTAATCTCTCTTCCTCCCACATTGCCATAAGGATAATTGAGGACACTTTTGTTTTCATTTCTGCTGTTTTGTTCTGTTAGGAACTTTAGTCATTAAAAATTGGTCATTGCATTTTAATCACAGTTGTTCCCTAGGCGAAAATGAGAAATTGTTGTTAAGGAGACACAAGTACTGTAAATAAATTCATCTCATTTCAGAAGAGAAGGTTGTGAAGAGCAAGCAAGGCTGAAATTTACTGGAATATACCAACATTTCATTGAATAAAATTAATAATAAGTTATTTAAATTCCTAGTTAGAAGGCAAAATATATGTTCATTTATATGTTACATCGTGCTGAATACAGGTAGTCCTTGACTTACAACTGATCACTTAGCAACCATTCAAAGATCCAGCAGACTTATCTGGGTGGTACTTGCAACCTGGATTAGAAGTTCTGATATCCCCCCATGGTCACATGATCACATTTTGTGTGTTCAGCAGTCAGTCTGCATTTACTTCTATTTGCAGCATCTGCAATCACGTGACTGTAATTTATGACTATTTTGCTAGAAACTTGCATTTGCTTCTGGTTTCTGGCAAAAAAAACACCCACTGAGGAAAATAGGTTGTCTTAACAATTGTGATCTTCACTTAATGACCACAGATTTGCTTAAAGACCACTGCAAAGAATGACATCAAATAGGGTCGGTCAAGTGATGACCTGTTGAATGACCAGCATGACTTACAAAAGATCAATTCACAGTCATAACTTGAGGATTACTGTAGATATATATTCCAGATAAGCGCTAGTGTGCAGCACTGTTAAATTCTCTCTTGAATCAAATGATTTGATAGATACATTTCTGCAGTTTTATTGGCTGCAATGTAGAAGTGGTTTGAAGTATCTTTTTCCAGGATGTTTTGCGTCATCTTATCCAGATCTACAGCCCTGATATTTTTTTTTAAGATCTCCTATCCAAATACTAAACTTAGTTTTGTTTAATTTCTGAAGTCAAAAGTTGNGAGAGAAAAGTTTCCGATACTGGCCACGACTTGGTTCAAGGCACAACACGGTGACCTATGGGAGATTCAAGATCACCACTCGCTTCCGGACAGATTCTGGTTGCTATGCCACCACAGGTTTGAAGATCAAACACCTCCTCACAGGACAAGAAAGAACAGTTTGGCATCTTCAGTATACTGACTGGCCAGAGCATGGTTGCCCAGAAGACACAAAAGGGTTTCTGTGTATGTGCTTGTCTTCTTCTTCTTCTTCTTTTTTTTAACTTACTGTTCATTTTGTATTATTTCTTCTATTATGTGAAACCTGCTGAAGCAAAATAGGTGTGGGGCTGATAATCGCCTGCATGGAAAACGATATAATCTGTTGGTTACCTTCAACTTACATTTTTAAAAGGCCTGTCTATAAAGGCTGGGGATATGGGGGATATCTAAATAAAGCCATGAATAGCTAAGTTTTGTCTTACAGCTATGGCTCCCCAGGCCATGTATGAAGTCTAAATGCACACCTTCCACTATGTGCATGGTGATCTAAATCCTATTGTGTGCAATTGTAAGGTTAGCTTATTTTTTTTAAAAAAGAGGCCAAATCAGCCCTGAAATACATTGTAAAAATACTGAAATCTTGTAAGTTTTAATGTCCTCACAAGATTTCAGCTTCTTTGTGTGTATGTGCGTGTTTTGTGTGTGTGTGTGTGTGTGTGTGTGAGAGAGAGAGAGAGAGACAGAGACAAAGAGAGAGAGAGAGAGAGACAGAGAGAGAGAGAGAGAGAGAGAGATAATATGCAATTTATAAGATATGTGGACAACATCAATAGTTGTTTAGGTTCTATGCTAAAACAGTTTATTGTAATATGAAAGAATCATTATGCATTTTGTGTGTTAACCTTAATCTCTCTTCCTCCCACATTGCCATAAGGATAATTGAGGACACTTTTGTTTTCATTTCTGCTGTTTTGTTCTGTTAGGAACTTTAGTCATTAAAAATTGGTCATTGCATTTTAATCACAGTTGTCCCCTAGGCGAAAATGAGAAATTGTTGTTAAGGAGACACAAGTACTGTAAATAAATTCATCACATTTCAGAAGAGAAGGTTGTGAAGAGCAAGCAAGGCTGAAATTTACTGGAATATACCAACATTTCATTGAATAAAATTAATTATAAGTTATTTAAATTCCTAGTTAGAAGGCAAAATATATGTTCATTTATATGTTACATCGTGCTGAATACAGGTAGTCCTTGACTTACAACTGGTCACAACCATTCAAAGTTCCAGCAGACTTATCTGGGTGGTACTTGCAACCTGGATTAGAAGTTCTGATATCCCCCCATGGTCACATGATCACATTTTGTGTGTTCAGCAGTCAGTCTGCATTTACTTCTATTTGCAGCATCTGCAATCACATGACTGTAATTTATGACTATTTTGCTAGAAACATGCATTTGCTTCTGGTTTCTGGCAAAAAAAACACCCATTGAGGAAAATAGGTTGTCTTAACAATTGTGATCTTCACTTAATGACCACAGATTTGCTTAAAGACCACTGCAAAGAATGACATCAAATAGGGTCGGTCACGTGATGACCTGTTGAATGACCAGCATGACTTACAAAAGATCAATTCACAGTCATAATTTGAAGATTACCTGTAGACAGGGCTTTTTTTCAGCCGGAACGCGGCGGAACCGCGTTCCGGCACCTTTTTCCGGGCCGGCCGCACCGGAAATAGCCCCTCCCACACCGGAAATAGCCCCTCCCAAATTTTACTTGCATTCCTGTTCTCTAAAGGGGCGGTCCTAGGGTTTGATGAGGGCGTGGCCAGGTTTGAGTTCCGCCACCTTTTCTCCNAAATGATTTTTCCAGCTTGTTGTGTATGTTTTTTTTAGGCACTGGATATTCCAAGGATGCTAGAAATGCTGAGGCAGCAAAGGATGATGATGGTGCAAACCCTAAGCCAATACACATTTGTCTACGGTGTTCTCATCCAGTTCCTTAAGAGTTCGAGGCTTATATAAGCTTTCTCCACTCAACTTCAAAAGTCTACTTCTTTGCGAGAGTTTACAAAAGCAGAAGTTTGCCTTCCAGGACTACATGCTTCTTGTGAAGTTTGAACATTCAGTATGCAACTGGACATTGCTTTTGCAGAGGTCATGTTGAAGCGGAAAAGAAAGTAGGGTGGTGGTGGTGGTGGTTTGAAATGGGAATTTGGGTAGGTGCACCATGATTCATTGTGTTCTTCCGATGAAACTATGTTCACTGTAGGCATACAACTGCTGTTCCTAACAAGACATTACTGCGCTGTGCTGAAAATCGTGATGGTCATAATTTTATGAATGGAAAGCTATACTGATGTATACTTGTAGATAGACCGTGGTGAATGAAGTGAGCCCTGCCTATAGAGTAGTCATAAATGGCATCATTGTGCTTGGGGTTTTTTATTTCACTCTCTGTGTGTGAATGTTTGTGTGTGTGCTGATTTTTATATTGGAACCGGCATCAGAAAAGCCATTAAAGGAAGCACTTAAAATAGAGACTGTTGGGCTATTTTATTTTGCCAGAAGTGGGGCACTTCTCTAGAAACTGCAGGTTACAGACAGCACGCAATAACATAAATTGAGTATTTTGTTTAAGATTTGTAACAGGAAAAGAGTTAAATGGAAGATGGTAATGGCTGGTAAAATTTGTGGTACATTAAAAAAGTAGTTGGCAAATCTTTGAAGGGAAAAAAATGAAAATGAGATGACAGAAGCCAGGCAAAATTTATAGCTGCTGCTGTATTATCCTCCAGTAGGAAATGATTGTTGGGTCATATTCCAGGTCAAAAAGTACAGTAAAAGGAAAAGGTTATCCTAGGAAATCCCATGTAGTTCCTCAAAACTTTATAAAGTAGTTATCAATGAAGTGTAGCTCCAGAATGATTTTTTAAAGGAACAGTTTGTTACTTCTGGTTGAAATCAAGGTGAATAGAGATGAATACTTAAACACTTGTTTAAATATTTTATTTATCTAGGGGAGCGGTATGTTTATCTGCTTAGCATGCAATTTTCATTTTAGAAAAAGGTATTGAATGTGGAGCGAGTAAAACAGCATTTGATTTAATGTGGAATGTGGTATTGGTCTGCATAATTTAGCAAAGTGGCTGTAAAATTGCTTTTGTTAATTCCCTTATCAAGAAAGTAAAAAGAAAAAAGAAAAGAAAAAAAGAAAAGAAAAAAGGAATGTTTTTTAGAGTCACCAAATTTATTTCTCTTTTCCTCTGGATAACATCTCCAAAGCAGCCTCTCCAATAACATTATGCTAACATTAGAAAGCCTGCTTGCTTATTAAAGCAGAAGTGACTGGTGGAAAGTGTTTCTATGAAAAGAAAGCAAAAACGTTATATATTTTCCCTTATGCTGTACAATGTGCCAAAGAGAATGGAAGGGAGGGAAGGAAGGAAGGATGCATGGATGCATGCTTCAGGCAGTCATACAACACAGTAAGCATAGTATGATACTTTGAACAAGATGGGAGCTATTTCTTCAAAGCAGTACTATTTGTCCTTTTGAGATTATTATAGTTTGTTAAGCCAGAAGTCAAATTGATCTGTGTTTGTGGTGCAGACTCTAAGAAATATTTCTTTTAAATTTTAGTCATGTCTGTTCTTCCATTATACACTCTCCGGTTGAGATATCAAAAGGTGTTTCTGTGATGCTTAGATTATTTGATTGGTCTTCATGGCAAAAAGAAAAAACAGAAAAAAACAGATGGGTTGATACCTGTGATGCTAATTTCCAGTGTGCAGTCTCAATGTTGCTTGTTTTTTTTCACCACTTGGGAGCTGTGTGTATGAACTGGTTTTCCATGCAATTTTTACCAGGTGACAGTAGCAGGTTGTTTTTTTTGGAAAATGATCCATTTAAGATGTTGGCTTTTGCCTATCTTCCTTGAACGAGCATTTCATTTTAAAAAACTATCTTCTTCGAAATTGCTTTTCAGAAAGTTAGATATTTGGCACAAACTTTTAATGGAAGGATGGGGCCATGCATTAGGCAGGGCTGAAGATACATTTGGAAGTGTTGGTGGCTACAATACTGTACAATAATTTGCAGAATGATGTTCCTAAACCATTCATTTTAACTTTTGAAATGGTAGTCCAAGTCTATAAAAGTGTGTTCCAAATAGTTTTTGAAATTCAACTTTTAATTTTTAAGGCTTAGTTAAATTCTGTCTTTTGGCTCTCTGACGTTCTGTGAAAAAATATTTAGTGTACGTTTTCTGTAAAATGAAACTGCTGTTTATTTGGGCCTGGCTTGTGCAGCACAAAGTAGAAAGGAGGAAGTGGAATTTTAATATTATGGATGAACCTATTTATGAGGTGAGTTGAAACAATAGCAGAGCTCAAGGATTCTGCTCTTGTCTGTTTCTCAGCTGGGATCTCTTCTACCAGTTACACTTGGTAGGGGTGGGGTGTAAGATGGAATAGAATGATTTCTCTGTTCTGCGCTTGAATGATCCATAGCCTTAACTAGCATCCATCACAGAGCAAAATGTACTGCAAAGTGAAGTCATCCTCTAAATATCTAAATTACATGCATTTTGCTAACTTTCATGTGAACAATGATAGACTGTTGCAAGCAATGTGATTTATATGGTTGCCTTGCTTCTTTGTATATGTGGTTTGATGTTCTTAAATCTAAGCTCAAGATCAAATTTATAAGCTATGACACTTACAAACAAACTTATTCCAGTGCAGTGAAGGAGAGAGTGAAAAAAATCTCAGTGGCACAACTGTCCAATCTATGTACAAGTCAGAGGACTATGGGTTTACTCCTTTCTTTGTGAAGCATACTTTTTTCCTTCCTAATCTGCAAAATGTAATTGTAGATCAAATTACTGCAGATAAACTCTCACATTACTATGAGCGGGAGGGGAAAATATTTTGAAGAATGTAAAAGACTGGAAAGAGAGAAGAATGCTCTCTGAATTGAGGATCTTGTTGCTACAATACTGTAGGGACCAGTTTCTTTGCCTTTCTCTTGCCTTTTGGGGGGTATCTAGTTCTTTCTAACTCAATTGTTGCTCTATTCTGAATGTATCTTTTGGGCATAATTTTCTTTAAACTGAATTTTATGTTTTGAACAAACTACTAAATGAACTAGTATGTTGTTTGGCCAAAATCACTGTTGACATGATGCTGTGTTATAAAATTAAGTAAGTGCCACTGCGATTTTTCCCCCCTCAAAGAAGTCCCATGGTGCTAAATAAAATAGCATTTGCTTTAATATTGATGAAACAACCACATAGTTGTGGTTAGTGTATTATAATGCATGTCTTTTTAAAATTCCACTATATTTTGTCCTCATTTTTTGAGCACAGATTGAGAAGAAATTATGTCTAAATATATCGAGAGAAGTTATGTGCCATTTTTATTTTATTAGAACCACCTTTAAACATACGAAGGAAGTTTGAAACAATCTAAAATGAACTTCCAAGTTCCAGAATAAAAATGTCCAGTTAGGTTCGCTAAAATATATTCCTATTAAATCTTAAAAAAAGCTACAAAAATAACCAAATCTGGTCATACTTTTTTACAGACAAAATACATAAAATTAACAATGTCAAACTTTCTTTATGATGCTGTTTTCTTGTATTCATCATGGACCCAAAACATGTCCGGCCTCATTGTTGAATTACTGTGAGACAATTTGGATTCATAGGCTACTACAATAGTATGGAATCTGTTTTGAATTATTCAGTTCTGTGCTTTTTTTCTGCCAAGAAACTACTTGGGTAAGATAAATGAGAGCCAGTTTGGTCTAGTGGTTAAGTCACCAGGCTAGAAACCAGGAGACTGTGAGTTCTAGCCCTGCCTTGGGCATGAAGGTTGGCTGGGTGACTTTGGCCCAGTCACCCTCGCTCAGCCCAGCCCACCTCACAGGGTGGTTGTTGTGGGGAAAATAGGAGGAAGAAGTGTTATGTATGTTTCCTGTCTTATTTATAAAAATAATAAAGGCAGGTTTTTAAAAAAATAAATCTAAATGAACAATACTGCACATTCCCACGCCAGTAGAGTCCTTCCAAGGGACTGAACAGCACTTGTTTGGAAAGGAACTGATCATGAACATCATTCATTCATGTCTTATCATACTGGAGAGATGTGGGTTGAAGTCCAAGAAAACAACTCCCATGCTGCTCTTCTAATGTATGAAGATGTAGTGCTGGAAGTTAGTTTGGGGCAAAAGAATTGATATTGCATGGGGTTGTATGTTGAAATAGATGCCTCAACATCCCACTAGCCTTAAGCAATTAAATCTATGCAAGGGAAAGACAATGATTTTTACACAATTTCTCCTCTTCTTTTTTATGTCAGTATACAAGGATTTTTGCAGTACCTTCCTTGAACAATAGCATGTCTCAAAACTGAAGTATTATTTTTTAATGTCAAGCTAAAGTATTTTTTACACAGTAAGATCTGCTTTGTCTCCATCAAGAGTAAAAATGTATAATTGCTGCAGCTTTAACTCATGTACAATTGAGATGGGTTTTTAAAACAATGTGCAGATTATATTTGATAGAAAGGGTTGTTTTTCTTTGATATGTAATATATGTGAAATGAATTATATTATAGTCTATTTTTGCCATGAAAATAAATTTTTGAAGCGCTTCAAACATGAGTTGTTCCATAACTTTATTGAATACTGATCTTTTGGACATAGAAACAATAATACTGAATACAATGTAAAAATCAATCCATTTCATAATCCAAAAGAGGATACCTTCAAGCATGTTGCATAAAGTTGTTTATTAGAATCCCAATGGTGTTGCGTAACATTTTAGATCAAGTATTTAGTTGCAGGCATTCATACTACAGAAGTAGTATCCTACAGTAATTTCTGTACCGAGCAGATTAGATTACATCAGGCATGTCCAGCTTTTTGGTTTGCCTGGACTGCATTGAGTTAAGAATTGTCTTGGATTGCATATAAAATATATAATATAGATAATGCATATAACAAACTTCTTTTCTTTTGGGGGGTCTTGTGGGGCTGCATACTAGCTGTCCAGGGCCACATGTGACCTGTGGGCTATGAGCTGGAAACACCTGGACTAGATGATCTTCAAGGTATCTACCAATCCTTATATTCTCATACTGAAAACAAATTATGAATCATCAGGAGACTCAATAAAGCATTGTGTTGTTCTGAAGACAATCTACGTGGAATATGAAAATACCGCCAAACCTATTTGAAATCTCTAAATTGCTGGTCCTGCTTCAGTCAAGATTGATAGACATCGAGAGTTTCCTTTAATTATTCAAAATCCAACTATACACAGTCAATTGAGTGAAAAATGTTGGGGTAATCTAAGTTCTTTGCCCTGTAATAACAGCTTGAGCTTTGAAGGGGGGGGGTAGATTGTTACCAGAGAATTTGCTTACCTTACAGGGCAGAATCCTGATCCACAGGCACACTCATTTAACTTTTATTTTGAGAAATGGCAAATAATCAGAACTGTTCAAATAAGGTGGATAGAGTTTGGAGCATATTTGTGATGAAAGAGCACCTGCTGCTCCAAATTGTTCCTGTTTTTAAGCTTTCTAAAAGTGTGGCTTACACACACACCCCCCCAAATAGATGGAGGTATTTTCAAAATATTGACTGACCAGGATAATGATTTCTAGGCATGTTTGTCCCCTTTAATTTCTTATCAAAAATGCACTTCCTCCTTCCCTGGGGCTGAGATGATGCATTCCTTCCCTCATTTGAGATATGAAAAGTCATAAACACGTAAGCCTTGTAGGATGGAAGGGCATGGCTGCAAAACATTTTTGTATTATTCAGGGAAGAGGTTTCTTCTGAGCAAACCAATTTATAACTCAAAATACCACAGTGCTTCCATTTTTGAATAAGTTGCAGTCCAAAATTACTTATCCCTTTGGCAAATACCAAATTTAAACCAACACCTCTCATCTTTAACATAGCATCCTGGTATTAATTACAGCGCTATATATTTTCAAGGTATCTGCATTTAATGAACAAAGCAAGTGGGAAAGGTTTTTGTTTTTAAAAAAGGGGGATGCCAAAGGGCTTGTTAATGACTATTATTTTTGGATCTTTTGTTGAGATGATTATTTGTTAATGACTATTTTTGGAGTCCTTCAGTTGAGATGATTAATAGTAGTTCTAAAGTGGGTACCATGTTCCTATAGTAAATTTAGCACTTCAAAGTTCATTTGAGAAAACAGCTGCTTTCCAGTCAAATAGAAAGCAGATTTCTAAATATATAGTAAGGTTTATAGAATTTAATGTTGTCAACTCAGCTCATTCATATATCTGAGTCTGACAAAAATGCCAACTGGGTTCAAAATGGTCACATTATTTGGTTACCCTTAACTCAACCTCTTTTCACCCAAAACCAGCTAGCTATGCCCATTTCATCCAGCTACAGAAGATGTAAGAGAAAAGACATAGGCTATTTAAGCTCCTTTGCCAAGAGACTAGTTTCAATGTCTTTTTTCTTTTTCTTTTTAATATATTTTTTTATTTTTCAAACAAACAAAATACACAATACACAATACATTTTCCTTTTTCCTTAACAATACTATGTCCTATACTGTATCTCTTACATTTATTAACAATTATTTACATTACTTCTCTTACTTTTTTATTCCTTAATTCTAACCAGCTATAATACATGTCCCATACCTCGTGAAATTCAGTAATGTCTTTGTCTTTCATTTCTAGAGTTAGTTTGTTCATTTCTGCACAGTCTAAAATCTTTCCTATAATCTTTGCACTTGTTGGTATGTTTTCATTTTTCCAATGTTGCGCATATGTAATACGTGCTGCCATTATAATATGTATAATGATATCTTTTTTCTAAAGTTTCTATTTAAGCTAGTTTGGGTAAGAAATCTACCAACTTTAGAAAATCGTATTACCATTTTCTGTTTCATCATTTCCATTTGCTTTTGGATCATGCCCCTTAAGTTGTCAGTTTGTGGGCAACTACATTAAAAAAAAAATTCTTCTATAAAGCTTTTGAATGAAAATGGGGTAAACATAACTATTTTCCTATTCTATCAATAGGTGGACACTATTTTCATAATTCATTCAACAAAAAATACTAGAGCAGTATTGTGTGTCATTTTTGGATGCTTTCTAGAAAAAAAAAGTTGCTATGACACTTCTTTGCCACAAGAACAAAATTTAACTCTTTGCAGCCCACCTTCAAATAGACTCCTTACTTGAAAGCATCACACTATTGTGAATGCTCCATTCCTTTTATGTATATACTGTATCATAGTGTTGCATGCATGTACATAGGTACACTTGTGTGATTCTGCTTTTGTCTGGTTGTGCAATCTCTCTTCATGATACTTAAGAGTGAGTGGAAATTAAAATCTAACAACTGAAGTTCTCAAGGTCTTCTCATTTTGTGTAGTGGGAACTTTATTATTGAGCCTACTTGAAGAGGGTTACCAATTACACAATGAAACACACTGCTTGCATTTGGACGACTGTCTAAAGGCTTGAGTGATCAGTATATCAAACATCCCTGATATAGAACTAATATCATCATGCAAACAGCAGTGAGTTCATTTTATCCTTCCAGCTGCAAGTGAAAGGAGACATCAGACAACTAGTTAACACTATGACTGTGTGATCATCCATTGTTAATAAGTCAGAGGTTCTATCAACTGACCCATGTTTTAAAAGATGAAAGAATGAATCCTTCATCTGAATACTGCATTGCAGAGGATGCTTCTCTATTAAAATCAGACAAAACAATCCTGGTTCACTAAACAGCAAGCTGCACCAGATATCTGCACAGATATGAGAAATGTATATCTATTTGGAAAAGAATTCAGAAGGGCAGGCATATTAATTTAGAGACAGTTTTTACTCCTGCAAATTTTATATTCATTTATTATAAGTGCATTTTGATAAATATACTGCCTTTAAAATAAACATTATGCCCCAAACTATATGCCTACTCTTTTCTGCAGTTAAAACTCTTACACATTCTCCAGCATGATGAGTGTAGAATCCACCAGTGGGTAATCTCAGCCTTCTTGCTCAGTTGAGACTAAGTCAGAAATCTGCCACGCCTCCTTCTGGGCTGGACCTTACCCAGTTTTTGACTTAGTCTTAGCTCAGCAGGACGCAATTGTTCTTGGCTCCTCTGAATACTAGATTAGGTTAAATTAATTAGGTTGATTAAATAATTAATTCCAAATTCCAACCTTAATTTCGACTGGTTAATCTGGCTCCAAATTCATTGAGTTAGCTTGCAACGAGCCTTGCAGGCTCCACCCGAGCCATTTTCCATCCTCAGACTCACCAAGGCTACAGCTGACCCTTCCAGGAGATACGGGGGTTAGCCTTAGCCAGGCGATCCCCCGCGGAGGCTTGGGAGACCGGACAGCCTCACCGGAGTGCGCTGTCGCCACGAGGCTTCTGAAGACCCAGACGACGATCCGGATTGCAGCGGAGGCTGTGCAACAATCAAAACCGCAAGTGCCCGCTTTTTCGGCCTCAGAGAGAGACAATTACCTTAAAACAGCAGGCATCGAGCTCCCTCAGGGTCCCCCAGGACAGGGAAGGCCCAGCTGCTTCACAGACGGCCATTAATTTTAGCGTGACCGCCATTTTGAGAGCCTCGCAAAGCCTCATTCAGGCTTCTATACCGAATCCAGGCTCTCTCCTTTTATCCTGCTGTGACAGGCACGGATCGGGGGGCATACTCCATAGCATCCTACTCATCCAGGGGCTACTTCCCCCTGCCCAGAGTGATTATCAGGACACAAAATCAGTGAGCCGGCCGCCATTTTGAACTCCTCAAACAGCCCTTGGCCGTCTCAAAATAATTGGCAGACCTTTGGGCCTTTTTTGTGTCAAGACAGCAGGCCTTTTCAAAGGCATCACAGTCTTCGAGGCTTAAGGACTGGGACAGAGGGAATCTATTCAGAGAACACTTCACCTCTGCAGGGCCTTAACCTTTGATCATTGACATCCACTCACAAGAGGGGGAATTTTATCAGACTCCACCTGTCCCATTTAGCCGTGTGGCGCTGTGCCATAAGGCCTAACAGATAATTCTAGGTGATTATCTGGCTGTCAGCCATTGCTGTTGCTCAGAGCGTGGGGTTTCCCTCCCTGACAACCAGATCTGTGTTCCTATCCCCTCCCGGACATCTCCTTGTCCACCGTGTTCGGAGAGAGAAGGTAGTCCCTCTAGTCCAACTGTCTCAACTGCTGGGGAAGATGGTCTCCTGTATGGGGATCGTTCCATGGGCCACACTGCATTCCAGAGAACTCCAGTGGTTCCTTCTTCCTTTTCAGAAGCGGAACATGAGTTCTTCCACCAGGAGGGTGAGGGTCCCACGCCAGACACTGTCATCTCTTCTGTGGTGGACCTCATCGGCAATGGCCAAGGGATCCCTCTTCAAGGAGCCTGCCAGGCTCATCTTGACCACAGACGCCAGCCTGTTTGGCTGGGGCGCTCACCTCCAGACACACCTAGCCCAGGGTCAATGGTCCCGTTCGGACTTGAGCCACAACATAAACTGGCTAGAACTCAGGGCCATTCACGTGGCACTCCGCCACTTCTCCACCATAGTAGCGGGGCAGCATGTATTGATACTGACAGACAACGTGGCAGCAAAGGCACACGTGAACAGGCAGGGAGGGACCCAATCCAAGTCCCTTATGCTCGAAGCCCACAGTCTGGGCTCTTGGGCAGAGGCCAATCTAGGATCCATCAAAGCAGAGCATATATCGGGGGAGGTGAACCATCAAGCGGACTCCCTGAGCAGGTCTACGGTGGACCACTCAGAGTGGCGCCTGGACCCAGTTCTGTTCAGGGAGATCTCGGATAGATTCGGCCAACTCCAGTTGGACCTCTTTGCCTCCCCGAACAACTCCCAACTGCCCAGGTACTTCACCAGGTTCCCATCCCCAGGGGCAGAGGAAACGGACGCTCTTCGCAGCAAGTGACCCAGGGGGTTGCTGTACGCATTCCCTCCCCTCCCGCTGATTCCGGCCACCGTCCGCAAGCTGCTGCAGGAGCAGGCGGAGGTCATCTTGATTGTTCCACACTGGCCGAGACACCTGTGGTTTGCCGACCTAGTGGAACTTTCCATCTCACTGCCATGGAGGATCCCTCCAGACCGCATCTCCCTCAGCCAGGGGGCCCTTTAACACCCGATCCCCAGTGGCTCCAGTTGGCCACCTGGCACTTGAGCGGAGAAATTTAGCCAGACAATCCTATTCGTCCAGGGTGATCTCAATGAGCCAAGCTTCCAGGCGCCCCTCGACTAATAGGATATATGATGCCAAGTGGAGAAACATTTGCCTGTGGTGCACTAAGCACCAACTCCAGCCTCTTTCTGTCACCATTCCCAATATTTTAGACTATCTGTTGGAAGGTATGGATAAAGGGTTAACACCTAGCACTATCCACAGACAGGTAGCGGCCTTGTCCACGGTGCTTACTTGTGACAATCTGGTCCCTTTAGCCCAGCACCCAATAGTAAGCGCCTTTCTCAAGGGGGCAACTAACGCCAGACCACTGGCGGTTCACCGCTACCCCTCTTGGGATCTACCACGGGTACTACAAGCGCTAGTTTCACCGCCGTTTGAGCTGATCAGGTCTTGTTCATTAAGGCTCCTTTCTCTGAAGGTGGCCTTTCTGATTGCAGTCACGTCAGCCAGGTGTATTTCGGAGCTGGCTGCCCTTTCAGTTAGGAGTGACCTGTGTACCTTTTATGAGGATAGAGTGGTCCTTCAATTAGATCCATCCTTCATTCCGAAGGTCAATACCTGGTTCCATAGGACCCAAGAGTTGGTACTTCCGAACTTTTGTCCCAATCCATCGCATGGGCTGGAAAGACAGTGGCATAAACTGGACATATGCAGGGCTCTGCGTTATTATGTGAAACGAACCTCTGCCTTTCGCAAGTCAGAGGCCTTGTTTGTGTCATTCCAACCTTCTTCCATGGGTCAGAAGGTTTCCTCTTCGACCATTGGGAGGTGGATTAAGGCGTGCATTGCCCGTGCTTATCTCTCTCAATCCCTACTGGTCCCTGGACGCATCACTGCCCACTCCACTTGCAGTGCGGCTACATCAGCGGCCTGGTCTACCCAGGCGTCCATTGAGGAAATCTGCAGGGCGACAACTTGGTCCTCACTTTCCTCCTTCATCAGGCATTACAAGCTGGACAAGTTTGCCTCTGCGGATGCTTCGTTTGGCCGGAGGGTGTTACAGCAAGTGATTTCTTCTGGTGGGACACAAGCCCAGACTAGTTCCCCCCCTTAGGGACATGAGCGGCTTTGGTATGTCCCACCGGTGGATTCTACACTCATCATGCTGGAGAAGGGGCGTTGTCTTACCTGAACGCCTTTTCTCAGCATGATGATATAGAATCCACACCCACCCTTAAAGGCCGTCTGGGCCTATGTCAGAGTAGGAGGAGCCAATGCGTCAGACTTCATCATGTTTTGCTTCGCCTTGGTCAAAAACTGGGTAAGGTCCAGCCCAGGAGGCGTGGCAGATTTCTAACTTAGTCTCAACTGAGCAGGAAGGCTGAGATTACCCACCGGTGGATTCTACATCATCATGCTGAGAAAAGGCATTCAGGTAAGACAACGCCTCTTCCAATTTTGTCTATTGTTTCTTACAATGTTCTAGTGCCCAGTTCAAAAAAGTCTGACTTCTAATATTTCAAGCCCATTTGCAGTAGCATCCAAAGAAAAAATATTAAAAGGCTGATTTGCTAGCATTTTATTTAATTTTCAAAGTTCAGATCTCTGCACTGCTGACTAGATGAACTGCCCCGTTTGGTGCTTTGCTGCTAGTTGTTTACTCCTGGGCCCTGACCAAAGAGATGGGTTCCGTCATGCTTTCTTTCAGTTCATCTACTTCTCTCAAAGATTCACTTGTTTCAAGGTCAGCATCACAGGTGGTTGAATTGCATGTTGGTGGCAATGGACATGTGGTATCTGGAGTTTCATCAGTTTTCATGGATGGGGGATTCAGCTCAATGTTCAGTAATTCCTTGATATCCTGAGAAATTGCATCCTGGTCTTCTATTTTCTGTAATTTATCATTGTGTACAGTGAGGTCACTTGTTATTAAATCCATTGCATTTAAAAGCTCTTCACTTTTTGACACTTTGCTCTGGGATTTACTGGTAAGTTGAAGGTTCTCTGCTGATTCATTCTGTAAATGTCTATATGCATCGGACACTCCAGTAGACTTTTCCTCCCTGTTGCAGCCCAAGTCAACTTTTAGAATCTCCAGCAGATGGCGCATTTTGTTCTAAGATAGGACAAAAAGATTAGACAGCAGTAATTAAAAATATGCCTCATAACAAAAATTTAGAAAATTTAAAAATCCATCAAGAAGTTTATCAAAGATAAGTAAGTTCCTACTTATCTACTCGCATTTGCATGCTTTTAAACTGCTAGGTGGGCAGGAGCTAGGTGAAGGTGGACACTCACTCACTCCGTCATGCAATGATGGGGTCTCAAACCCGGGTTGTCGGCTTTGCAGCCAACAAGCCCAGTGCCTTAACCACTGAGCCATTGCACTGCCCATAAGTGGCATACCAGATGGTTGTGCAAGGGCCCTCATGACCACAGCTGCCACATGCTCTTCAAGCAGCAGCTGAAAGTCCAGAAAGCTTTATATACAGATGACATTGATCCAGGAAATCTTATTATTAAATGAGCAACATATTCATAATTTGTCACTTTGCATAAGTGATAAATGAAAGTAGAGAATAATTATATATAATCATGATATGATAGCTTATTCCATCTAACCATTCGGGATTACAGTTATCAGTTTATCAACTCTGGTTTGTTCGGGAAAGAGAAAGTCTGGGAACCAAGTTTGATTCTGGATGACTACATGAACTTATCCATGCTGTTACTTTATTTATTTATCAAATGTATGTAGCCACCCATCTCACAAAAAATGACTCTGGGAGGTGTAGGATTATCATTGTAACAACATGGACATATTTGCCTTCTGCAATTTTTATTTTTTTTTTTACTTCCCAGTCTGGTCTACAGCTGTAAGGTGCTCAAGTGTTTGTCTCTATAAGCACTAACCAGCTCTAACCATCCTTCAAGGTCAGCTGTCTCTGTTTGCATACATGGTTTGGATGCCACAAGTCACTCTCCCTGGCTGCTTCATGTATTTATTTATGTGGAAGAAGGACCAAAGTGGCAACTGATAGTAATGCATGAATTAGCAAGATGCTTTTTCAGAGGGTTACTTTCATAAATGAGTAATCCTGTCTAATGGTTGTAAATACAATATATATATACAAAACAAATATTCTTCAGCAAACACATTGAAGAAATTTTTAGTACTCTTAAGATGATTTCTCATCTATGCAGCATACCTTATTTAAATGGTTTTTGTTTAATTCTATGTGACGTTCAAACAACCTTTCCAAAGCCCTTTAAAAAAACAAAAATAGGTATTACACAGGAAGTAATTGTTTTCAAAAGAAAACTATTAAAAATAATCAACTCCAAGATGTTAACTTATTTTTTTAAAATAGAAACAAAATAATTCTCCCACTCAAGAATTAAATTCTTTTATCTTTGGTCTTCTGTTCTTTTGCTGCAGCCGTCCTGCTTTCATGTGTAGTTTCTTTCATCTTTCCTACTTTTTCATGTTCATTTTTCCTTAAATCTACTCTTGAAACTACCAAATGGCCTGCCCAGATTTCAGATCTCTTATCACCTTATATCTTTCATTGATTCTTCCAATCTTTCATCAGAAACCATCAAACCAGCCATGCTTCTAGAATTACATTTATTTCTTTGCTGGACATGTACATGAATAGATGAATAGAAGATGTGCTTAAACCACATCTTCAAAACCAACAGACGTTTTCTAAGTAGATAGCTGTTAGTTACCCCTCTCATTCATTCTTGGGTCTCTGAATGGCCTAGACACCTTTTGTTCATTGTCTCATCTTACTTCCATTTACCCATTCATGTCACCAGTAAAATATTTTTTTCCTCTGGATTGTATTTATTCAGAATTTTGCACACTTCTCACCCCAAACCCATATCTGGTTCTTCCTTTATTTACTATTTATCTATGCTTCATTGCAAAAAAATTAAAATGAAGGAACTTTAAATATATATCCAACCTGTTGGAAAATAATCCAAGCTTCAGAATTTCATCTGTTATGTCCTGAATAAAATTTAAATACTGCAGTTCTTCTTCTCTAAACAGAAAACATAAAAACTACTTTTAGTCTCCAAATAAAAACATTGATCAAGCACTTTAGTTGCTACTAACCATTTCCCATTTATGATCTTGGACCATAAATACTAATATCAATAAATGAAGACAAACTAATATGTTTGGTGGATTAATTCACCTCAAAGTCTTCTTAGGAATGAACTTGCTCTACTTCCTGCCATATTTTTGTTGTCTACTGTACAAATTTGCTAGTACAAATGTGTACCTTTTTATACAGGGGATCTTCCTGCCGCATCTGAAACAGGCTCAGCTGTGTGTACATATATTAGGGAATAGCTTCCCTAATATATTCTCATTGACCTGAAGATATTGCATTCATAGCAAAAGATTAATATGCAACTCACACTTCAATTAACAGTTGAATGAACAATATCTAACTGCACTATTAATAGGAATGTGCAATTTCTTCCCAAGCTGGATTATGTGTACATATGTAATGAACTACATGTATCTGGATAGCAGGACCTAAGTCCTGAATTAGTTTTCTTATTACATTCAGTTGTCAAGCTAAGCAGCGTTTACTTTTTTTTTTTTAAAGAAGCATGTTTAACAAAAGAAACATTTCAAGGGAAATAGCAATAATAATAGCACTTAGGCGTATATATCGCTTCATAATGCTTTACAGCTCTCTCTAAGCAGTTTACTGAGTCAGCCTATTGCCTACAATAATCTGGGTCCTCATTTTGCCAACCTCAGAAGGATGGATGGTTGAGTCAACCTTGAGCTGGTCAGAATCAAACTCCTGGCAGTGAGTTAGCCTGCAATACTGCATTCTAACCAATGCACCACCACGGCTCATTTTAAGTTATCTAAACATCAAGCAAGTAGATGCAAACTAATGCAATACATACTGAACAGAAATAAGCAATCAGCAAATCTGCTAATATGTCACTAAATTTCTGTAATATAGCTTTGGGCCCCAACGCTAGAAAGCAAATAAAAAAAATGCAGAAGAAATGGAAGTAAAATTATGCAGTTTGATTTAAATCAATCAACCAAACCAGGTTGTGGTGTCCTGAAACATGTGAATGTTGTGGTTATATCAGACTGTCTGATATTGTGATATGTGTCAACATGGTATTAAGGGGTGGGATGGAATAAGTGAAAGAAACAGCATCAGTGATATAAAAATAATCTGGTAATTTTTCATTATGCAACGATTTTGCAACTGATGTACATGGATCCAATTGTAATTTGGTATCATGTCACTTAAAATGTCAGCTTCATTAATGTTTTGCACTTATGTAACATTGAAATTAATGAGTTACTTACTCAGCTTGGATTTTCCTCATGGTTGGGGACTCAACAGAACATGGAGAAATTGCTCTAAGCCATAAGGAGGAAGAAACAGTGCAAATCAGACCCAGAAGGCAGAATACTATGAGCATGTACATTGTTTCATATAAGGCTATGCTCGAATTGGTCTCTGTGCCTACAGGAGGAAAGTGCACAGTATGATCATTCTTATTATTGAATTTTACTTAGCTTGCCCTCATCAATGAATGTATAAAGGCGAGGGAGTAAATAAAATCAATTAATCACTTTTAGAATTATTAAATGGCTATTACTCAGTAACTCTCACTGTTTAAAGGGGGAGAAAAAGGGAGAGAAATATAAAACAGTTAATCAAACTGAAACCTGTCAATCTGCATCACGGGTGTCAAACTGCCAACCGGTGGGCCGGATGCATCATAGCGAAACCGCGCCCACCCCATTGCTGGCAATGGAAAAAAAGGCGCAATATGTCACGACACGTCACGTGACGTTGCAAGTTTGACACCCCTGATCTACATAGTGGGGAAAGACAAGTAAAATGCAAGAAACTCAAACCCTGGGCAACCAATCAGGAGTAGCAAGATGCTTATTTTTCTCTGAGTTTTTAAAAAGGAGAGAGGAACAGCTCTATTTTGCCCTTGCAATTTTGCCTTTGTCTTCTATCCCAATAGGACAGATTCTGGGCAGTGAACAAATAAACGACAAACCACAAAGCATAATAAATAAAACAGTCAACAAACATTCCAGTATGTTTTTAATGCATAAAAACAGGTAGTAGGGTTAAAGTATCTCTGGTGGAGGAGTGTTCCAAACTGTGTGGATTGCTACTAAGAAGGTTTGCTGTTTATTCCATGCCCTCTGCACTTCTCAGCATCCCCCTTCTGGAATTTTGGTGGGGATGGGAAAGTTGGTGCTTAATGAATTCCAGTGGTTTATATATACTATATAGGTTTTAAAGATGATAACCAGCACTTTGAATTGGGCCCAATGTCTTCCTAGCAATCAGTGCTGCAAACTGGAATCTTTGCCATAGCCTGAGGCGGCACTGTAGAAGTTCAGCGTACTAGTGACAATTCACCTTGAATAGATTATCTCTCCCACTAGTTATACTAAGATGTAGAACGAACTGGAGAAAGCACCAATCCTTGTGTGGCCCATGCTGTTGCTTCTAGAAACTCATGTTCTTCCCTTCCATGATCTCCAACAGCAGCTGCCCATTCAGGTTAAAACAGGATCATCATAAAATGGGTCTCTTAAACACACAACTTTGGTAGGTTGTCCAGAAGAATACCAGTGTATGGAAAGCTGGTGAAAACAAACATCTAATTTCCATATTCCTTCAACAAAGGCAGCCCTTTATTTTTAACCCTTTGTTAAAAATTGAGATTTTGCATTTTACCCATCTTTCACCTCAAGTAAACATCTGTTCATTGATGGTGGGTTAATCATCCAGTTACATCCAAAAAAGATTTTATCACATTCTCATTAATTACTAATTCGTTATTTATTAATCAAAACAAATATTGTGATTCAAACAAACATTTCATCTTTCAGATTGGCTGTTTATTTGCTCTGCTACTGAAATTTTGTTTGAAGGAAAAGATGTGTATTCGTACTTAGATAACTTCATGCAGATCTAAACCTCATGAAATACATCATTCTGGATTTCACAGGAAAGCATGGTGATGTGCTATTAGCAGTGAGGGAGAGTCACAGAGCTTGTCAAAAAAGGAAGAAAAAGATCCGAACGTTGCTTACCTTGGAGAGGATAACTGAGAAATAGTTTTCATTTCATCAAACATCTGTTCATTAGAAAACCTGGGATCTTCTACCTATATATAAATTTAATAAATAAATAAATAAATATATAAAGCATATATCTCTGTTACTAATACAAAATTCATTTGTAGTATTGTATTATATGTTATGTTATGTTGCCATAAAGAAGAGGGAGTCAAGCTATTTTCCAAAGCACCTGGAGGCAGGACAAGAAGCAACGGGTGGAAACTGATCAAGGAGAGAAGCAATCTAGAACTAAGGAGAGACTTCCTGACAGTGAGAACAATTAACCAGTGGAACAACCTGCCTCCAGAAGCGGTGAATGCTCCAACACTGGAAGTTTTTAAGAAGAGACTGGACAGCCATTTGTCCGAAATGGTATAGGGTTTCCTGCCTGAGCAGGGGGTTGGACTAGATGACCTTCAAGGTCCCTTCCAACTTTACTA